CCCAATGGCTAAAGGTATGTTTAGATATTTTCTAGCTTTGTAGAGACTTTGTACGCATATGCTATTCAGTTTAAATAAATGGTCAGTTCTAAATTGTGTTTGATTCATTTTGTTTGTGTGCTGTTGAACGTTATCCTGGATCAAACGACTCCAGTGCTTTTCCAGATAAATGCAACTCTGAAATGTGGGTCCACACTCAATGTAAACAAAGCAGAATCTGCTGAAAACTAGCTGAAGCTTCAGTCATGTGACAGATCTGCACGAGGCTGGTTGTAGTGGCCGTAAGTTGAACCTATTTTGTTTCTGTTGGTGAACAAACACACGGGATAATTAGCATCCAGTCACAGATTTGCCAATTATAAATATTAAGAACCCATTAATCACTGATCTGAGATAAATATAGTCAGGATATTGTTTATGACTGGTCTTAAAGACTGTGACATTATTATGGGTCCACACGCTTGGTGTATTGCTTAGTTCATATCTTAGATCTTATTACTGTTTTTTTTTTTGTGTGTGTGTTTTTTTTTTATTTTTACAATTTATACTTTTCTTGGATGTAACTGGGACCCTGTGTACACAATTTTGTTCTACCACATGTACCACGTGATGCGAATGACATAACCTTGACCTTGAAGTACCTTCAAAGCAACATATTAGAACGGTTAAGTTATTATAAATACATCCTGCAGGTCTGTTCTCCTCTGGACACAAACTACTGAGTGTGTTTCATAAATAAATCTGATTCGTCTACTTTAGTTACATAAAATAATCTGGTTCAAAATAAACAGCCCAATGAAGGTCAGTCAATCAGCATTATTAGCAGGAATAGCACCAAATTATTTGAACTATAGTGCTGTATTTTTAAAAAGTTTTGCTCCGTTTTGGTGGCAAATGTTAATTATTAACATTTTGACAGTTTTCTTTAATCCTAAAGTAAAAAAATAAAGTTAAGTCTTCTGTTTAATGAGCATTAAATTGACCATGCGTGTTAAATTTAAAAATCTCTGAAATTTCTTCCTGTTTGATATAACTCTTGAAATTATTTAAGATTTATCGTTTCACATGAAGCACACAAAGAATGAAAAACTAATTAAAAAACATTCATCACATCCCTCCGCAATGTTCAACTTTTCTATTCTAAATTTAAAACGCGGTGTTTCCAGTGACCTGATGCTTTAGGGTGCGTTCAAGAACCTCAACCTGCGTAGGGTTATGAAGCTTTTTAGTCCACGTGTTTATTCTATTTTTCTTTAATCTGGTTCCTGAAGAGAGGAAAAAAAAAAAAAACAATGACGTCACAATAAATGTCACACATCTGGATTACTCAGCTGCTTTTAAACCAGTTCTTTTCATGGTGCAGACACACAACTGGTTCACCTGAGGACGATTAAATTAAATGCCGATTTTCACATTTTACATTTAAAATGTATATATTGCAAATTTCATACATTGCAGATCTTTGTTTCCCTCCTTATGTATATTTTATGCATTTGCATATTTTCACATTCAGTTGCATTTCTATGTATTTCTAACCAGCGGCAGTTGTGTATATTTGTTATTTTGCTGTGAACCTCTTGCACCAAGTCATCAGGAAAAAACACTCTGTGTAAATGTGGCTTTAAACCTGATTCTGATACGTTTTGAGTTTACAGCCAAAGCTCCCAGAGTCACAGAGCTGGTACCAAATCAAACTTATGACACGAGTGGGTGACCAGAAATGAGCCAAAACAACCGGATTCACTGACACTACATGAGGAAAACCTTTGTTCTGTTGTTTAAAAAAAATTCTGGTGTCAATTCCTTTCCATGCAGCTACTTCACAGTCTGTATAGTTTAAAGTGTTTTAAACAGCAGGTATTTTTGTGGAAGTATTTGAATCAGTGCCTTCATTTGTGCAGTTTTATATTTGACCAGCAGAGGGCGCCATAGACAAAGACATGCAGCGTTCTTATTACATTAAAATAAACCAGCTGCGTTTTTACAATCATTTACATGAACAGCTCCAGTTTACACTTTGCAAATGCAATGATGGCAATTTTAATACATTTTCCTAAATAACATCTCTAGGACTTCTAGCCCCCCACCCTGCATGCACACAAGTTTTTTTTTTTTTAATAGTGATACATTAAAACCCATGCAGTGAATTGCTTTTGTTTGCACCCTCCTCACAGTCTACAAACACCCTAGGGAAACTTAATGTTAAAGAAAAAAAAAGCGCATGTATCTAATTTAAACAAAGTTAAAGAATCAAAGCGATGCACAGCAGCTGCAATGTTTAGGTAGTGTGAATATGATGAGGTGGTCCTATTTAAAGCATCAATCCTGCAGGTCAGACAAAATGACTGTCCTTAAAACAATAAGAACAAATAAAAAAATAAAACATTCTTGTCCAAAATGCGCCTTTATGCTCACGTCCCAAGTGTGACCACATTCCGGCTGGCCTTCTGAGCAGAGCAGAACATCTGGATGAAGAAGATCATAAGCATCTGCAGCCTTTAAAGAGCAGCTTCAGCCATTTTGGGAGAACTCTGCCGAGTGTAAAAGATGAATTCCTTCTGCTCTACAGTCAGTCCAGCTGAGCTCAAAACATTCAGTCGAGTGGAGATTCCAGAGAGGAGTGCAACAATGAACCACTGCCGAGGAAATATTTTACCCACAGTTCTGGGATCAGCTTTTTTCTGCAAACTCATTGAATCCGATTTGTTCAGAATGCTGCCAGCTGCTAAACAAAACATTCAGCTGCTTATAGAAAGAGGCACAGCTGCAAATTGTTTAAATAAGAAAAATGAAAGCAAGGCGAAGATCAAACCAAATAATTATTTTTCATTCATTCAACCTTTATTTAGACATGTAAATCCCACTGAGCCTCGAGGACTCATTTACAAGAGAGACCTGATTTCAACAAAGGATGACAACAATGGACAACAGTGACAACATAGACCGTTCTAAAAAGTCATAGAACTGTCTAAGAAAGAATTATAAAACTGCAGAACTTGAAACTCTACGCAGCCTGGCCTAAAATAGAGAGTGGGTGTTTTTATTGTGAAACAAAACAACAACAAAAATGATAACTTAAGTTCATTTGCTACATTAAAAAACTGGAATATTTTTATTTCTATTGATCGAAGAAAATCTGCAAAAATCCTGCAAGACTTGAATTCTTTAAGTGCAGTTTTGTACAAGATGCATCATTTTCTACACAAACATCTGATACAACAAACAACATCCATCCATTATCTTCACCCGTTTATTCCATTTTGGGTCACGGGGGTCGCTGGTGCCCATGTCCAGCAATCACTGTGCGAGGGGCGGGGTACACCCTGGACGGGTCGCAAGTCCATCACAGGGCCACATAGAGACAAACGAGACAAACAACCATTCACTCTCCCACTCACACCTAGGGACAATTTAGAGTTACCAATCAGTCTAACATGCATGTTTTTGGTCTGTGGGAGGAAACCGGAGTACCCGGAGAAAACCCACGCATGCACGGAGAGAACATGCAAACTCCACCCAGAAGGCACCTGGACCGGGGGTTTGAACCAGGGACCTGTTTGCTGAGAGGCAGCAGCTCTACCAGTTGCGCCACCGTGCTGCTCACATCTGATTCAAACATCTGATTCAACATCAACAACTGATTCAACAAACAACATCAACATCTGATTCAACAAAAATCTGATTCAACAAAAATCTGATTCAACAAACATCTGATTCAACAAACAACATCAACATCAGATTCAACAAACAACATCTGATTCAACAAACATCCGATTCAACAAACAACATCAACATCAGATTCAACAAACAACATCAACATCAGATTCAACAAACA